CCCGCCGCTCTGCCGTCCAGGCCGCAGATCAACGCAGATCCCTGCTCCCCCGCCGCTGTGGATGGGGTCGGAGCTTGAATGGTGCTGCGATCGGCTCAGCTCCAAGGCTCGTGACAATGGCTCTTCTTTTATTTTTGATTGCGCCCCTACCAAAGACAAGAACTAGACCTTTTTGGACTGCGCTTGGCTGTGGGTTTGGGCTGCGGGCTTGCAAATGGACATGTGTACAGCAGTTCGGGCGTTGAATCTGGCTTTGCTGTTTGCAAGCTTGTTGAGTCTGCTGCCTCCGCTGCCTTGGTCTAGCATTCGAGTCCCGCCCGCACTGTTTAGTCCGCTCAAGGTTCTTGGCTCCGCGGCTCCCGACCAACCCGTGCTTTCGGGTCGCCCTCCCAACGCCATACGCTATGCAGGTGGAGCTGTCACCATGTGAAAACGATCCAGTGTGTGCAAGTTGGGGTTTGGACGGATGCCAAATCTCGCTCGACCCAAACATGCATTCCCGCTCATCACCGATCCTACTACGTTTGCAATACATGCAATGTATGCAAATGCAAGGAGGTGTTTGGCCGCCGATTCCTCTTTGCTCCGTCGGCCCTCACTTGCTCATTTCATGCCCCTGCTGGATCTCCTTGCATTGCGTGAGATTTGGCCAATCCGCATTGGGGATGGCTCACTCGCTCTCCAAGGTTGGCGATTCGTTCGGCTCCATTGAGCGGGCAGCGAGGCGAATCTAGGCGAGACGGCCAATGCTCGCACGCTCAGACCCTGGGCGCGCGCGCGCAACGCCGATCGATGCTCGGATGTGCCTGAAGCTTCCCTCCCAACGCCACTTCTCTCGCTTGCATCGACCCAAACTAGCGGCGATGCGCCTTTTTTTTCCCGGGTGTAACCAGCCCACTTTGGCGAGCTGGCGAGCTGCAAAGGCGCATCTTTGCCTAGCGCGCTGTTGGCTCGATGCGGAAAGCGCAGAGACCGTCGCTATTGGCTGTGGTCGGGGCTAGGCCGGGATGGAAGACAGGGGCTGAGGATTCGGCTCCATTGAGCGGGCAGCGAGGCGAATCTAGGCGAGACGGCCAATGCTCGCACGCTCAGACCCTGGGCGCGCGCGCGCAACGCCGATCGATGCTCGGATGTGCCTGAAGCTTCCCTCCCAACGCCACTTCTCTCGCTTGCATCGACCCAAACTAGCGGCGATGCGCCTTTTTTTTCCCGGGTGTAACCAGCCCACTTTGGCGAGCTGGCGAGCTGCAAAGGCGCATCTTTGCCTAGCGCGCTGTTGGCTCGATGCGGAAAGCGCAGAGACCGTCGCTATTGGCTGTGGTCGGGGCTAGGCCGGGATGGAAGACAGGGGCTGAGGATTCGCGTCCAAGAGTTTGTGGGCGCGGCTTTGCATTGCATACGCCGCTGCGTTGTGCGCCACGCCAAAGCGACGGCGCCGACGACGGCGGCCTTACTTGGCTCGAGATGCCGTTGGCGGAGGATCCAAATCCGGGCAGCCGCTTCTTGTTTAATAATGCCAGCCCCAAGACCAAAAATATGCGACGACAAAGCTTTGGTTTGTTAGACCGACTAATTTCCCCTGGTTTTAGAATTTGATCTATCGCCGATGGACGTGTGCAGACAAAAACGAAAGAGGCCGATCCGATGCACCCATCGATAACCAGCGCCGGGTTTGGAGTCCATGCCACGCAACAATGGCGCAACTCGACGCAGAGCTGGCTCTCAATCCGAACTCGAGCCTGCACTTTCTCCTCGGAAGATGCCGCGTTGTTGCTAGCTCAATCGGGCAGTCTAGTGTCGTCGCTACGCTGTACTGCTTTCACGGCGATGCGCTACGATGCGGGGGTCGACTGAGAGTCAGAGGGATCGCCGATTGGGAGGAGCGCGTGTCGAGCCAGTGTCCACGTTCTGCGCTCCTTGCAAGGCGCCCAAACTGAGAGCGGCGATATTCGGAACGCGATTCGCGCCAGCCAGCGTGTGGGCCGAGAGCAATTCAAACCGGGGCATCGCGCTTGTAATCGGGGGCCAAGTTTTGGAGGAGCCAAAAAATTTGCCGCGCGTTGGCCAGTGCTGTCGATTTGGAATGCTTGGAATCTGCGTGGGGGCCAAACGGAGCGACGGCGTCATTTTGGACCAGCAATCGACACACGCAGCTCGAATTTCAGCTCGAATTTCAGCCCGAACTTCAGCTGGGCTCGGCTTCCCGGTCTGCTCCTCAGCTCCCACTCACTACTCGGCGCGCAACTCAGACACTCTACTTGGAGCGCAATTTCCAAAGACATCAGCAGCGGCTCCCACCATCTCTATCTCCAACCACCAACCACCACCTCTCCCCTTTTTCTCGTTTTTCGTTCTTCGCAAAAATGGCCACCTTCACCGAACGCTTCACCAAGGGTGCCTTCCCCGTCCACTCGGTCGCCGAGGCCGTCAAGCCCGGCCCGCAGGGTGTGGATCTCTACTCGCGATTCTTCCTCGCCGGTGCGCTCTGCTGGTGAGTCGCAACCACCACGCTTCAACTGATACACGCAGAGTTGCGATACTGATTTTTTCCTCTCTAACGCGCGCACAGCTCCATCACCCACGGTGCCGTTACCCCCATCGATGTGGTCAAGACGCGCATCCAGCTCGAGCCCACCGTGTACAACAAGGGCATGATCGGCGGCTTCCGTCAGGTGATTGCCAAGGAGGGTGCGGGCGCGCTTCTTACCGGTCTCGGCCCCACCGTTCTCGGCTACTTCCTCCAGGGCGGTTTCAAGTTTGGCGGTTACGAGCTCTTCAAGAAGGTCATTGTCTCGCAGATGGACAACGAGACCGCCGTGAACAACCGCATGGCCATCTACCTCGGTGCCTCGGCCATTGCCGAGTTCTTCGCCGACATTGCGCTCTGCCCTCTCGAGGCCACGCGTATCCGTCTGGTGTCGCAGCCCACCTTTGCCAACGGTCTTGCTCCCGCCTTCCTCAAGATCGCGCGCGAGGAGGGTCTCGGCGGCTTCTACGCCGGCTTTGGTCCCATCCTCTTCAAGCAGATCCCTTACAACATGGCCAAGTTCGCCACCATGGAGGTGGTGCTCGAGAAGGCCGTCCAGGCGTACGGCAAGCCCAAGTCCGAACTCTCGGGTGGCGAGGCTACCATGCTCAACCTCGGCTCGGGTCTGATCGCCGGTTTCGCCGCTGCCACCATCTCGCAGCCCGCCGACACGCTGCTCTCCAAGATCAACAAGCAGAAGGCGCTCCCCGGCGAGACCATCACCGGCCGCATCACCAAGATGGCCGGCGAGCTCGGCGTGCGTGGCCTCTTTGGCGGTCTCACCACGCGTCTCGTCATGGTCGGCTCCATCACCGCCGGTCAGTTCGCCATCTACGGCCAGCTCAAGAGCGCCCTCGGTGCCACCAACACCGTCGAGATCTCCAAGGCCGCCTAAACTTTTCCCTCTTGGCACACGGATAGACTTGCGCGCCCCTCCCACACACACACACACAAAAATACGCATTTTATGGTCCCCCATTTTTTTCGCTCTTTTTTTTTTTCATCGCAGTGTGTTTATTCGCGGTAGGTTGAGCGTGAGGCATGCTGGAGGACGGCTGCCGAGGAGTGGTGGTGTTGGGGGGTTGGAGTGAGGTGGTGCGGTTTGGATGCGGAGAAGTGAATGCTTTTGAGCCAGGGTTGGGAGACCGATCCAGCTCGGCTTGATGGCATCACGCTCGGCTGGTGGAGCTTTGGAATCTTGGGCAGGAAGAAGTGCGGTCGCGTTCATTGCAACGAGGGTGGTGGGGCTTTGACATTTCTCGTACGGGTGGGGAGGCTGCATATTCGCACAGGCCAGCGCCGGCGCGCAGATTGGTGGAGTAACTCCACACATGCGGGCATCGCGCGGCACAGCCTGCGCATCCTCCACCATCTCACTCCTCTCTCTCTCTCTCTCTCGGCATAGCCTCTCTTTGGGCATTTTTTTTTTTAATCATGGTAAAGTTGGATTGCTCTACTTGACACTTGGTATCACAATGCTGACTCTATTTTTCAGTCGAATACGTTGCGACCGTATCTTTCCTGCGTTCGCTCCACGCTCACGGCTGCCATGACGCTCGAGAACTTTGCGTCGCAAGTCGTGGAACGACACAACAAGCCCGAGATCGAAGCACGCAGTTCGCGCGAGGTGCTCCTGGCACCCCTGACCATCTCGAGGAACGAAAACGAAAAGGTGCTCATCGAACCCAGCGTCAACAGTCTTCGTGTGTCGATCAAGATCAAACAGGCCGACGAAATCGAACGCATCCTAGCCCACAAATTCACCCGCTTCCTCATGCAGAGGGCCGAAAACTTTGTCATCCTCAGAAGAAAACCCGTCCAGGGTTACGATATCTCCTTCCTCATCACCAACACTCATACCGAGACCATGCTGAAGCACAAGTTGGTCGATTTCATCATTCAGTTCATGGAGGAGGTCGACAAGGAAATCTCAGAGATGAAACTTAGCATCAACGCAAGAGCACGCATCGTGGCCGAAAGCTACCTCTCCACCGTAAGTTTTCCATCTTCCTCCGACCACGCGCCACTCAGCTACATCTCACACCACCTTTTGAACCTGCCCTTTTCCCGCACCAACACAGTTCGCTTGAAAAGCCATCTACCTTCGTTCTTCTCTTCGCCAATCTCATCAGTTTTTTTTTTAAACCCGCACAAACATCTGCCAAGGATCAATGTCCATTGCCCTGCGGATCGTGCAAGCCAAGTCAGTCGCGCTTGGACAGGCGACGCTTGCGCGGCACCTCGGCACGCACCACCGGCGCCGCATCGTCGTCGTCAAACGTGAGATCAATCACATCCACCGTCTTGTCCGCCTTGGCAGCAGTGAGCGGAAGCGCTAGCACGCCACGACGCAGATCACGCGCAAACAGCGGTTCCCCCGCCGTGCGCGCGCCATACGTGCGTTCCGACTCGACGAACATCGGCATCCCCGCGCCATCTTGCTCGTCTCGGTCGGCTGCAGCGCTCGAGGCGTGCGAGGGCGAGGCGTAGTGCGGCACCACATCGCGCGTGACGCGCAGCGCGAGCAACGAGGGTGCCACCGCCGTATTGAGCGTCAACTTGTCCGGCCATCCAAACCTCGCCCCCCGCCCTTGGGTAAGATGATGAGCACCCGATGATGTTTGCGTGGGCGGTGGCGGGTCGAGGTACTCTGCGCATTCCCAGGGATTCAGCGCGCCCGGTGCGAACCATCCGCGGCCAAGGGCTGCACGTGCACTCGGCGCAACCATCCACGCATGCCGACCGGGCCCACTGTCCAGCACGTACGACAGCGCCTGCAGCCGCTGCATTCGCTCCGGCGTCGCCACTTGCGCCTGCTGCAACTGCATCTCCACCTCCCCCCACCCCACCAGCGCAGCGGGCATCTCGTCCAGCACAAAGCTCAGCGTGTCCACCAGAAGCGTAAAGGCCCCACCGCCTTCGATGCGCGATCCGGCGTGCTGCGCCAGCCGCACAAGCACTTTGATCAGCCGAGCAGCGCCCGCTTTGGCTGCACCGTTCCACAGACAGCCAAAGCGCAGCACGAGGTGCAGCAGACGCATCGTCAAACCGTCGTGCAGCACCGAGCTCACCGCTGCGCTCAGCGAGGCGCACGTCTCGGCTTGCGTGGAGGCAGCTTCGAGCGTGTGGATGACGTGCAGCAACACGTGGCCGCACGAATCGGCGTCGGTGGCGTTGAACGTGAAGCCCTCCTGCTGGCGACACATGCGCAGCAGCGAATCGAGCACCTCGCCCACCTCGTCCACCGCCGCATCCGCCGCATGCTTGCCGGTCTGCGCCTTGATTCTGTCGGCGAGGATCTTGATGCCGATGTCGACGAAGCGCGAGACGAGCGCGGCGGAGCGGCAGTCGCGCATCAGCTGCGCGCCAATGTGCGGCAGCCGCAGAAAGAGCTCGTCGAAGATCCCCGCTGCCAGCGCGCGGGTCTTGGTGTCGGCGCGCGACTGGAAGCTGGGCTCGACGAGCTGCAGCCGCTCAAAGATCTCCACCAGCTCGTTGGCCACCACGCGCGTGTCCCACTCGTTGAGCCGCGCCCGCACCGCACCCGCATCGATGCTGCCCAGCTCGCCGAGCAGCAGGCTCGTCGCGTCCAAGCACGCCATGGCGGCGTCCATCACCTTGGCTGGGTGGCAGCCCCACAGCGCCTTGCACGTGTCGCGCACGCTGAGCATGCACACGCGCGCGTCCTGGCGGAACGCAAGCTGCATGCGCTCCGACGTGAGCAGCGCGCGCCAGAACGCCTCGACCTGCACCTTGTCGCCCGCCGGCAACGACGACGTCTCGCCCGAGGCGCAGATCAGACTCGTCGCCATCTTGACCAAGCTCGGCAGGTTGACGGGCGCAAACAGCAGCACCGTCTGCGCCCCAAACGCGCGCTGGTCTTCGTACGTCGAGCTGCCCCCCGCATCGCCCTCATCGCCCAGGCTGCCGGAAAACATGTGGCGCAGGCAGGCGACCACGGCACCAACGTGCAGCCTCGAGTCCTGATTGCGCATCGCAGGGTCGGTGAGCCTCGTAACCCCCGTGAGCAGGTACGGCAGCAAGAACGTATCCACCATGAGCTGCAGATTGAGCGTGCCGTGCGCCACAAGCCTACTGAGCAGGCTGAGCAGCGCCCCAAACGCGTCGTGCGAAACTCCACCATGCTCCATGCTCTGCGCAAGGTCGCCGAGCCATCGCGCATGGCGCTCGTCGATCTCGAGCGACGCCTCGAGGTAGAGCTGGTCGATCAGCCGCACCGCCGCATCGACCACGGCGGGCTCCGGCAGCTGCAGCACGCTCTGCACGATGGCTCGCTCCGTGATCTCGTCGCTCGTGCCGTCCGGCTGCAGGAACAAGCTGCGGAACGGCGTGAGGATCTCGGAGCCCTCGATGGACGTAGTGGCGCCGTGGTCGCTCGCACCGCGACTGTGCTCGGTGCGCTGCGTGAGCCGGAGGAGCAGCGCGACGACGTTGGGCCGGAGAGCCTGCACGTGCGCCTGGATCGCATCGTGCTCGGCCGGCACATGGTGCGGAGCGGCATGCAGGCGGCTCGGCACGCCCTCGATGAGCGTGCGCAGGCGCAGCAGCGTCGTGGAAGCCATGACGGCCTGGCGGTCGTTTCGCACCGAGCTCGAATGGTTGAGCTGCTGCCGCACGAGCTGATTGAGCGTACCCATGATGTCCATCGAGCGCCACACGAGGCTGAATTCGATCACCATGTTGAACGTCGGCCGAGCCAGACTGTCCGAAAGCGGACGCAGCAGGAGCGTCGCGAGCAGCTGCGCCAGACTCTCAAAGTCGTCGCCCATGACCAGGATCGCCGACACCAGCGAGAGCTCTTCTCCACTGAGCACGTCGATGCGCGACGAGATGGCAGGAAGCAGCTCGCTGCGGAAGATCTTGCAGCGCACAAAGCGCGATGCCGACCAGAGGCGGGAGAGTGCGTACTGCAAATCATGCGCCTCGACGGTCGTCTGTGTCGTTGGCGCGTCGGCCACCGCCCCAACTTCCTCGGATGCAAAGGCGAACGGAAGTACGCATTGCAGTTGGCGCAACGCACGGCGCTGCGCCGCGTCTTCGTACGTCTCCTTGGTGCGCTCGCCGTAGATGGCCTGCCTGCGCTGCTGAAACACCGAAGCTGGCTGGTCGTACAGGGGCAGGGAGCGCAAGACGCGCAAATGGAGCGAGTCGCGAGATATTGGCGCATTGTTGGGGGCGCCGACCGTGGCTGTCGCCGCGGGATCTGCGGTAGCAGAGGGCGCCGATGTGGTGGTCGTCATGCCGCGCGCAATAAGGCGCTGCAGGTATTTGGTGTACGAGAACACGCCTCGCCTTGCGAGCTCGCCGATGAGCACGACAAGAGAGCTGACGTTGGTGGTGGCTAGCAGAGCCGCACGCGGATCGGAGGTGAGGGCGTCGTCGGGCGAGTTGAGAGCGGCCTCGACGTCGCCGAGCCATTTGATCAGCATGGGCTCCACGTTGATCTTGCGCGTCTTCTTGAGCGGATGCTCGAGGTCGAAAGCCGGCAGCGAGATCTTGTCTGTTTCTTCGCTGGACTCTTCCCAGCCGACGCCGAAGCGGATCTTTTCGATCAAGGTGGCGGCAAGGTACTGGCGCGCGACGCCACGCCGACGCTCGGTGCAGGCCCAGGTGAGGATGGTCTCGATCCTGGCTGTCCATGCAGCATCGTCTCGATGGAGCCTGGCAGCAGCCTTGCCAGCGGCCGGGGTCTGCAGAAAGACGCGATCGATGGTCTTCATGTCGAACGAATCGAGAGCGTGTATGTCGAGATGATGTTGGTGCGATTGGGAAGCGGACGGCGAGTCTGGTGGCATGTCGATGGGTGTGGTACTGCATGGTTGCAACAGAAGCCGATCGACCCTGGGGCGGATGTTGAGCTCGACAAAGTCGGCGAGGTTGGGCGGGACGTGGGCCGAGGGATCGAGCTCCGCTTCGCCCTTGAGTTCGTTGAGAAGGCGAACGAGCGAGGCGGCATGTTCACACCACAGACGCGGGCTCGTGAGCGTGTCTGGGCTCGATTCGCAGACGATGCGAAAGAGTAGGAGGAGCTTGTTACGCAGAGCGGCGCCGCCGCTTGCGCGGTCGAAGCGTGCATCGAGCGCGGTGATCTGGGCGAGGAGGGCGGCGAGGAAGGACCTGACGAAGCAGCGTCTGCGAAGGATGAGCACGATGACCTCTTGGACGAGCTCCACGAGCAAGGGGAGCTGCACGAGGTTGGAGGCGGCAAAGGCGTCGACGATCCAGCGGACGAGGATGGAGCGGTCGAGGAGGTGCTGCGCATGGAGGTGGCGGGCGAGCGAGAGGCTGTAGGACCACTTTGCGATCCAGCGTTCCTGGTCGAGGTGGTTTTGAAGCACGGTGCAGACCTCCTTGGAGGGGAGCGGGGAGGGGGACGAGGCGGCATGCAGGTTGGACGGAGTGCGCGCAAAGTGGGCGGCTGCGACGGAGCGCGAGAGGGCTGCCGAGGCAGCAGCCGAGCCTGGCGTTCTGGGCACATGGGTGGATGGAGAGGCGGGCGCGGGCGAGGCGGCTGCGGTGGAGGAGGAAGCTTCTGCGGCGTATGCGATGTTGAGCTCTGCCACCTGCTTGGCCATCCACGTGCAGAGGTTCGAGGTGATCTCGGGCACGATGGTGGCGGCCGACTTGTTTCGTAGCGACGAGAGTTCCGCAGCGCCGAGTGCGCGGATGAACCAGACGGCGCGCGAGATCTCGACGCTTCTCCTCGTTGCTGCTGAAGCTGCGGCGGCAGCGGTGGTCGAGGACGAAGAAGCTGCAGGGACGGTGGCAGGAAGCGCGCCGCCTGCCCAGAGCATCTCGAAGAGTTTCTCGCCTCGAAAGCCGTGGGGTACGTTCCTGGAGAGGCGTGTGAGGGGCACGTTTGGGTCTGCGAGGTCCTTGACATAGTTTGCGAGCTTTGCGTCGTTGAGCGTGACGCGCGAGGGCGGCTTGTACTGGGAGGCGGCGACGTGGGCGCGGTCGAGCTCGTGACGGCGTTGGGCGACTTCGTCCATCCATGACGAGAGGGATCGGAGGATGGCAGGCGATTGTAGACGCGAGTAGATGCTGTCGTGAGCGGAGAGTGCCTCGTTACGGACGTAGTTGCGTGCGGTGAAGCCCTTGCGCACGGCGAGCTGCGACATGTCATCCTCGGGCTGGTTGGGTTTGGTGGTGAAGAGGTCCGGAACATCGCGTTGGGGCGCGGCTGGATGGAGCGGCGGTCGCCATGATGGACGCTCCTGCTGGTAAGGCTCGGGCAGCTGTTGCAGTTGCGTTTCGGCGTGCTTGACGCGATCGCGCGCGGGCGCTGTGGGCGGCGGCATGGATTGGCCGTCGTCGCTGCTGCTGCTGCTGCTGCTGCTGCTGCTGCGCCCTCGCTGCGAAAACGATTTGGTGATGGCTTGGCCTGACTTATCGAGATTGACCCATGATGTTGGTCGCTAGCCCGGCGGTGCCGCTCGACATCCGGTGATCGAATGCAGAGCGCACGGATGATGGCGAGAGCAATGCACTTGAACAGCATTTCAGGGTCCGGTCCCCATCGGCGCGCCTCCGACAATCTGCTGACAGCGCGCTGACTGTGGTGTTCGGTTGATCCGGCGCCCATTCTCCCACCCTTGCGGAATTAGAGTTGAACCCGTGCGAGAAGACAAGAGAGGGTGCGGAATGCCCGAAGGCCCCAAGAAGGCGCTTTTTTTCTGTCTTTTTCCCCCCAGAAGAGTCACACACGCGAGAGAGAGAGAGAGAGAGAGAGAGAGAGAGAAATGCGCAGCAGAGCGCAGCGCAGCAGTGCAGAAGAGAAGCAGAGGAGAAGCCGAGCAAAATGTGACACTGCGAGCGAGGGCTCTGAATTCGGTCCTTCCGATCGTGACAAAGCCCCCTTCCCACCACCATATCATCACGCTATCGATCACCGCTCTCGTCCAGCCAGCCCGATCGATCACCCAAAAGCGCATCGCGTCGCATTTCCCTCGACTCTCGCACTCGGCTCAGCTGTGGCAACGTCCGGCTTGCGGCACCACCAGCGACGACGACGACGACGACGACGACGACCACGACGCCCCTCCGCCTCTTTCGATCCCTGGCCCTGAAGCCGCGTCCAGGGCCCCCTCGCTCCTTGCTTTCACCCAGACTCTTTAATACAGCTGTCGCCAACATGCCGCCCAAGGACGCCGCCGCCGCCGCCGCCGCCGCCGCCGCCAAGGACGCCAACGCCGGCCCCATCCAGCTCGAAAACACCGCCAAGCGCGATTTTCTCCAAAAGCTCGAATCCGAGTCGCAGGCGTACTGGAAGCAGCACAACGTCTTTGACGTCAACGCACCCACCCAGGATGACGGCCTCGTAGACATGACGCCCGAGGAGGTGCGCGCAAAGTATCCCAAGTGGTTCGCCACCATCCCCTACGCCTACATGAACGGCTCGCTCCACCTCGGCCACGCCTTTACGCTCTCCAAGGTCGAGTTCGCCGCAGGCTACGAGCGCATGCAGGGCAAGCGTGCGCTCTTCCCCTGGGCCTTCCACTGCACCGGCATGCCCATCCGCGCCGCCGCCGACAAGCTCGTGCGCGAGATCGAGCTGTTTGGCCCCGACTTTTCCGGATACAAGGACCCCGCCGATGAGGCGGCGGCTGCCGAGGTAGAACCGCCAGCACCCACCGAAAACACCTCGAGCGCCACCAAGTCCAACGCCAACAACGTCGCCAAGGCCACCAAGGGCAAGCTGGCCGGCAAGGACACCGGCCTCAAGTTCCAGTTCCAGATCATGCTCAACTCGGGCGTGCCCAAGGAGGAGATCCACAAGTTCGCCGACGCCAACTACTGGCTCAGCTACTTCCCGCCCATCGCCAAGGCCGACTGCACCGCCTTCGGCTCGCGCATCGACTGGCGCCGCGCCTTCATCACCACCGACGTCAACCCGTACTACGACTCGTTTGTGCGCTGGCAGATGAACAAGCTGCACGCCATGAACAAGATCAAGTTCGGCGAGCGCTACACCATCTACTCGCCCAAGGACGGCCAGCCCTGCATGGACCACGACCGCTCCGACGGCGAGGGCCTCGGCCCGCAGGAGTACACCGGCCTCAAGATGGAGCTCGTCCAGTGGGGCGCGCTCGCCGCCCCCGAGCTCGACGCAAAGCTGCAGGGCAAGAACGTCTTTTTTGTCGCCGCCACGCTGCGTCCCGAGACCATGTACGGCCAGACCAACTGCTACGTCGGCCCCACCATCGAGTACGGCGCCTTCCAGATCAACGACTCGGACGTCTTCATCTGCACCGAGCGCGCCGCACGCAACATGGCCTTCCAGGGCATCACCAAGGAGCGTGGCGAGGTCAAGCAGCTCGCCTCGATCAAGGGCTCGCAGCTGCTCGGCACCAAGATCAAGGCGCCCTTTGGCCTGTACCCGGAGGTGTACGTGCTGCCCATGGAGACGGTGCTCGCCACCAAAGGTACGGGCGTCGTCACCTCGGTGCCCTCGGACTCGCCCGACGACTACGCCACGCTCATGGACCTGCGCAAGAAGGCCGAGTACTACAAGATCGACCCGCAGTGGGCGGCGTTTGAGCCGATCCCCGTGATCCGCACGCCCGCGTACGGCGACATGACCGCCGAGACGCTGGTGAAGCAGCTCAAGATCCAGAGTGCCAAGGACAAGAACCAGCTGGCCGAGGCCAAGGAGCTGGCGTACAAGGAGGGCTTCTACAACGGCACCATGCTCGTCGGCTCGTACAAGGGCGAGGCGGTGCAGGAGGCCAAGAACAAGGTGCGCGACGAGATGATTCGCGCGAATCTGGCGTTTGCCTACGCCGAGCCCGAGGGCAAGATCATCAGCCGTTCGGCGGACGAGTGCGTCGTGGCGCTGTGCGACCAGTGGTACATGGACTACGGCGAGGAGTCGTGGAAGGCGCAGGCGAGCAAGCTGATCGCGCAGATGAACACCTACGGCTCCGAGGTGCGCAACGCCTTCGAGGGCACCATCGACTGGCTCAAGCAGTGGGCGTGTGCGCGCTCGTACGGTCTCGGCTCCAAGCTGCCGTGGGATCCGCAGTACCTGGTGGAATCGCTGAGCGACTCGACCATCTACATGTCCTACTACACCATCGCGCACCACCTCCAGGGCGGCGTTGCGGACGGTAGCCAGGTGGGCCCCATTGGCATCAAGGCCGACGAGCTGACGGACGAGGTGTGGGACTACATCCTGGGCGATGCTGCGTTCCCGGCCGACTCGAGCGTGCCCCAGGCCAAGGCCGAGGTGCTTCGTCGCGAGTTCCGCTACTTTTACCCTATGGATCTGCGCTCGTCGGGCAAGGACCTCATCCCGAACCACCTCACCTTCTGCGTGTACGTGCACTCTGCGCTCTTCCCCGAGCACCACTGGCCCAAGGCGGTGCGTGCCAACGGCCACCTCATGCTCAACGGCAAAAAGATGTCTAAGTCGACGGGCAACTCGCTCAGCCTGCGCCAGTCGGTCGAGAAATTCGGTGCGGACGCCACGCGACTCTCGCTCGCCGACGCGGGCGATGGCATCGAGGATGCCAACTTTGAGGAGAAGACGGCGAATGCCAACATCCTGCGTCTGCACACGCTCATCGAGTGGTGCACCGAAGTGGTGCAGAACAAGAGTAAGCTTCGCTCGGGCCCGAAGGATACGTTCTGGGACCGCTCGTTCGAGAACCAGATGAACCAGCTGGTGCAGCTGACCAACGAGGCGTACGAAAAGGCGCTGTACAAGGACGCCACCAAGTACGGTTTCTACGAGCTGCAGACGGCGCGCGATCTGTACCGCGAGGCTACGGCGGACGTGGGGATGCATGTGGATCTGGTGCTGCGCTGGATCCGCACGCAGGCGCTGCTCATCACGCCCATTGCGCCGCACTTTGCCGAACACGTGTGGAGCAAGCTGCTGGGCGAGGGCACGTCGGTGCAGACTGCGCGCTGGCCTGCGGCTGGGCCGGTGGACCATTCGATCGCCGAGGCGCTCGCGTACGTGTCCGGGACGGTCAAGACGGTGCGCGATGCCGAGATCCTGCTCACCAAGAAGGCCAAGGGCAAGAACGCGGCGCCGGTCAAGTACAACGACCGCGCACCCAAGCAGTGCCGCATGTTTGTCGCCAAGAACTTCCCCGCCTGGCAGGACAGGTGCGTGTCTCTCGTCCAGGCGCACTACAACCCCGACACGGGCGCATTCGATGACAAGGCGATCCGCGAACAGCTCGCCAAGGACGGCATGCTCAAGGACAAGAAGGTGATGAACTTTATCGTCACCTTCAAGAAGCGCATCGCCGACTTTGGCGCCCAGACCGCGTTCAACAGGCTGCTGCCCTTCGACGAGATCGCCACGCTGCGTGCTGCTGCGGGCTACTTTAGGAAGAGCATGCACTTTAGCCACATCCACATCTACCAGATCGAAGACAAAGATAGCTACAAGGATGTCGATGTCGACGAGAAGGTGCTCGAGGCGGCCGAGCCGGGTCAGCCCTCGTTTGCGTTCTTCAACGTGGAGGCCTAGACCGTCGCACCTCCCCCCCTTCCTTACGAGAGCAATACAATCAAGTCCCCCCTTCTTCCTCCACCGAGTCCCCCCAATGGTCGCTTTGTGTGGGGAAATAGATTGCGGCGTGTGTGTGTGGAATAAGAATACAGTTTTTGAGAGCTTGAAGATCTAGAACGACTTTTTCTGGATGAAGCTGAGGATATACGCGAGTGCGGCGCTAGCCTCGCTTGCTGCCGGCACGATCTGTTTCTTGGGCAGCAAGAATCCATACGTTCCACCGTCCCTGAGTTCGATACTGAACGACCACTTGACTTTTGCCTTTTGTTGGCCGTTTGAGTCCTTGGAAGCAGCGTAGGCCCAATCGACCGCATTCCCTCCTGCGACCGCATAGACCTCGCAGATCTTTCCGGCGGTAAACGCCTTGCCATCCACGGCCTTGACTGCCTTGATCGCGCCCAGACTCGCCTCGAGCAGATCCTCCTCGTCCGCCGGCTGCAGCGCACAATCGCTGCTGAACGGATACATCATCAGCTGCCCGTAGCTGTGCAGATCAAACAAGCCCACCACACCATTCTGCGGATCTTCAACGTAGGTCGCAATCGCCCGTGCCTCTGCGGACGAAAAAGCCGCACTGCCAGGGTACATCTCCGAACACGCATTCGAAGAGCCGCTAAAGCCGTAGTCGTAGTTGCGGTTGATGTCGACACCTTTGCAAAAGAGGCCCGAGGGAAAGTGGTTCGGCTGCCGGTTCTTGCGCCACATCCGGTTCTTGTCCCACGAATACACATAGCCATCCGGGTTCGACACGGGGACCACGGTGATGCTGAACGAGGAGAGCATGAGGCGCGCCTGCTTCTTGCTCCACACCTTGCGCGCGCGCTTCTTGCCCCGACGCATCGCTTCGACAGGCGACGTGGAGTTGGACGGTGCACCCAGCGCCGCAGCAAGCAGATCCGACGCAAAGTAGAGTGCGCTCGAAGTCGAGACCCACTCGCGTGCGTGCTGTCCACCCGTAACCACAATACCCAACTTTCCGTGTGCAGATGCCGTGAGATTCGCAGGCGGATCAGGTTGCGGCTCCGGTTCCGGTTGCGGCTCCGGCTGAGGCTCGGGTGTGGGCAAGGGGAGGTCGTCGGAGATCTTGAGCCCGAGGATGGGTCTGCCTTCATGCGTCGTGCCCAGCTGTACGAGCTGTGCATGCGTCGGATAGCTGTGCTCGAGCATGCGCATGTACGCGGTGATCTCGTCAAAGGTGTGGTAGTCGCGATGCCAGTTGTCCTCGCGCATCGCCTCGACTTGCTCCTCGTCCACCTCGCTGCGCTGCGCCGCCACAAGCCGCTGTACATCCTCGATCATCGTGACCGCATGTGGTCTTTGCTGCTGTGGGAACGGCTGCATGAGCTGCGCCATCCAATCCCGATCCTTGCCATCGTCGCTCGCCAGACGCACATCGACACATCCGTACACGTCCGCATCTGGCGACGTCGAGCAAGCGCTGCCACGATGCGCAGCCCACACGTCGAGACCGAGCTCCTGTGCGTGTTCGAGCAGCTTATGGTGTTGTGCATGCGACGCGGTTGTGAAGCGCACCACCTGCTGACCAGTGAAGTCGACGACCTCGTGCGACTCGGCGGCCGAGGTAAATGTGATGCGCGGTGTAGCTTCGAAGGGCTGCTGGTGGGCGGTGGCGGTGGAGACGATAGATGCGGCGAGTAGCAGCAGCCGTGCTGCGAGTGTACGCTGCATGATGTCGCCCGCTGCTTCGACTGAGCAAAGGAGAGATGGTGGAGGGAGGACAAGCCGGATTGGGGTGTGGAGAAGGCCGGTTATCATGGAGAAGTCGCGTGACAGAAATCGCACATTCTCTCGGCCGACTGCTGCTCCACTTTCTTTTCTCGACCAAATCCTCGGAAGTCGGAACAACACTGAAAATGTCGGCAAAAAAGCAAAAAAATTGGGCAGAAATTGGCGGCTTTTTGGGAAGAAACGATTTGCGGTTTGTGCTTCCTCCATTCCTCCTCCTCCTCCTCCTCCTCCTCCTCTCACCACCACCACCAACCACACACTCTCGACATGGCCGACGCACAGGTGCTCACACCTGACCAGGTGGCACAACTCCTCGCTGCCCAGCAGCAGCAGCAAGCCTCCACCTCATCCACCTCATCCGCCAGCACACCGTCGAACCGTCTCAAGACGTCGTTCGAAAAGCGCCGTGCCTTCGAGCCGTTCTACACTGGCGGCGCCACTGCACTCACGCCCGACGGCACGCTGCTCTTTGCGGCGCTCAACGAAGACGTCTCTGTCGTGCACGTTGCTACGGGCAACATCGTGCAGCGCATCGACGGCGATACGGAGGAAATCACCGCACTCGCAGTCAGCCCCGATGGCGCGCATTTGATCGTCACCTCGCGCTCGCTGTCGCTGCGCATCTTCAGCCTTCCGGAATGCACACTCGTACGCACAGTCCCAAAGGCGCACGCAAGCCAGGTCAACCTCATGTGCGTCGATCCCACCAGCACGCTGCTCGCCACGGGCGGCTCGGACGGCGTGGCCAAGGTGTGGGACATCGCGGGTGGCTTCTGCACGCATGCGTTCAAGGGGCATGCCGGCGTCGTATCTGCGCTGGCGTGGAACCTCCCGCCTGCTGAAACAGCGCCAAAGAGTGCAAAGAAGGGAAAGAAGCCGCAGCGCGTCATGCATCTGCTGACCGGATCCGTGGATGGCAAGGTGCGCGTGTGGGACCTCAACAACCAGGCGGAGCTGCACAAGCCCGTCGCCACACTGGCGGGGCACGACTCGGTGGTGCGTGGCATTGCCGTGGCTGAGCGTGGTGATGTTGTCGTCACCGGTTCGCGCGATCGCACGCTCGTCGTGTGGCGTCTGGGCTCCAACGCTCCCTCCGCCGCAGCGTGGAAGCAGGCCGAGACGCTCTCGGCCAACGAAGGCATCGAGTCCGTCGGCTTCCTACCTACCCGCAACACCTTCTGGACAGGCGGCAGTGACGGCCAGCTTCGACTATGGGACGTATCCAGCTCGACCATTATCGCGCGCGAGCCGCGTTCGTTCAACGAGCGACTCGCTGCCCACCAGAGCGACGACGAGGAGACGCGCGCCATTACGGCGGTGCACCTCGTATCCCCCGCGCAGGGCGAGGCGTGGCTGGTGTCGGTGCATGCGGATCAGAACATCGTCGTGCGCTCCGCAAGCCCGACGCAGCCGCTCAAGAAGGTGCGTCAGCTCATTGGGTTCAACGATGAGATCGTCGACGTCGCGCTGCTGGCCTCGCACGGCGCGGCGGAGACGCATCTGGCCGTCGCGACCAACAGCCGCGCGCTGCGCGTGTACGAGCTCGGCAGCGACGAGACGAGCGCCGAGCTGCTTGCCGGGCATACGGATATTGTGCTGTGCGTCGATAGGTCGCCCGACATGCGGCTGCTCGCCTCGGGCGCCAAGGACCGTACCGCGCGCATCTGGGCATGGGTCCCCACCAACCGCCTCTCCCCCACCGACACCACAGATGCGGATGGCGATACGGGCAAGCGCATCCGTCGTCCCACTGCTGCGTTAAGCGACGAGGTCGACTCGAGCGAGGGCGAGGGCGAGGGAGAGTGGGTCTGCGTGGCGGTATGCGAGGGGCACGCCGAGTCTGTCGGCGCGATTGCATTCGCCCGCCGCGCCACCAAACCCGGTGCGCCATACGCGCCGTTCATCGTAACCGCCTCGCAAGACCGCACCATCAAGCTGTGGGACCTCTCCCCTCTCACCGCGCTGCTCGAATCCACCGCCGCCATCTCCGCACCGCTCTCGCTGAAATCGCTGTTGACGCAGCGCGTGCACGACAAGGACATCAACACCGTCGATGTCTCGCCGAACAACGCCATGATCGCCACGGGCTCCCAGGACCGCACCGCCAAGCTCTTCTCTCTCTCCTTCTCGTCTTCCCCCTCGGGCTCCTCGGCACGCGTCACCCCCCTAGCTGTGCTCAAGGGGCATAAGCGCGGCGTGTGGGCATGTCGCTTCTCGCCCGTTGACCTTGCGCTCGCCACGGCGTCGGGGGATAAGACGATCCGCCTGTGGTCGCTCAGCACCTTTGCGAGCGTCAAGGTGTTCGAGGGCCACACGAATTCGGTGCTCAAGCTCGGGTTTGTTGCAGCGGGCATGCAGCTTGTGTCGTGCGCGGGCGATGGGCTCGTCAAGGTGTGGAATGTCAAGGACGAAGAATGCGCTCTCACGGTGGATGCGCACGATGACAAGATCTGGTCTTTCGCCATCTCGCGCGATGAGGGTTGGTTTGTCAGTGCCGCTGCGGACGGTACGATGCACGTGTGGGAGGACAATACGCAGCAGCGCCTCGAGGTCGAGCGCGAGCAAAGGGAGGACGAGGTGAGGATGGAACAGCAGTTCGCCAACCTCCTAACCACCCGCGATTGGCGCAATGCGATCGTGCTTGCGCTGCAGATGGACCAACCCCGCCGCTTGCTCAACCTCTTTACCCAGGTCGCCAACTCTCGACCCGACACCATCGGCGGTTTGATCGATGATGCGCTCGGCGGTAGTACTGGTGGCGATGCTGGATCGATCACGGGTCTGGCTAGTGTCGATGGGGTGTTGGCCACACTGTCCGGGTCGCAGCTGATCCAGCTGCTCAACTATGTGCGTGACTGGAACACGTCCACACGCACATCGGCCATCGCGCAAACCCTGCTGCACGCCATCCTCTCAACCCACACTGCCGCATCGCTGCTGGCGCTGTTCGACAGGGAGGCCAAGACGCAGCGCGCGGCGATTGCACAGCGCGCCGAAGACGAAGAGCTCGGCATCGCCCAACCGCGCACCGACAAAGTCAGGGCCCAGCAGCGCCGCCAGCATCAACAGCTCACGCTCGACCTTGCTTCGCTCGTCGATGCGCTCACCGCGTATTCGCAGCGACACTTCCAGCGCGCCGATAGGACGCGCATCGAGGCGGCCATGCTCGAATACTCGATCACCGCCATGGACTCGCTCCTAGGCCCCCAAGACGACGACGACGACCAGCCCCAAGACGCGTTTGGAGATCAAATCCACCTCGAGTCGGAACAGGAGCAACACGAGGATAGCGATGTGGACATGTCCGAGTAATCTCAGTCTGTATTGCTATGCGATGTGCACGATGCGGAGGGCGGATTTGCCCGCACGGATCACAGCTGCCTTGCCCCCCCGCGGCAGCTGCACCATTTGCTCTTGCAACCCCACCCGCGCGGGCGCATTGTTGATGTACAGCCCGCGCGCACTGAGCAGCCTCTTTGCCTCGGCCCTGCTTTTGACCAGCCCAGTTTCGGCGGCTATACGTGTGACGTCCATTGGCTCTCCCTCCCGCAGCCTGGTTACTATGCTGCCTGCGCTGTGCAGATCCAGCTGCCTGAGCAGCTGTGGCACGTCGTCCGGTGTGGCAGCTACGAGCTGGGTGAGTGTCTGGGCCGTTTTGGCCGCCTCGGCTCCGCGAATGAGCCGCGTCATGTGGTCGGCCAACACCCTCTGAGCTTTCCTCTTGCTCCTATCTTGATCATGCTCCCTCAACACCGCCGCTATTTCGCCCGGCGAGAGCAGGGTGAGCGCGTTGAGGTACCGCGCTACGTCGGCGTCCGGCGTGCGCAGGAAGAACTGGAAGAACTCCAAATGGCTCGTAAGCGCCTCCTCGAGCCAAACTGCATTTCCCGCGCTCTTGCCGAACTTCTCCCCGCTCGCCGTGGTCAACAGTGGCAACGTCAACCCGTAAGCCGGATCATCCTGCATCGCCTTGGCCCCCATCCTTCGCCTTATCAAATCGATCCCCGCACTGATATTGCCCAACTGATCCGATCCGCCCAATTGCACCGTGCAGCCCGATGAGCGGTGAAGATGGGCAAAGTCGTATGCCTGGAGCAGCTGATAGCTAAACTCGGTATAACTCATCCCCTCCCCCTCCATCCTTGACGCCACGCTATCCCTCGCCAGCATCTGCGTCAACCTCGCGTGCCTTCCCACCTCGCCCAGAAAGTCGAGCATCGAAACACCACTCATCCACGTGTAGTTGTTCAGCATCCGAACGCCCACCTCCTTGCCCGAGAATGTGGCGACATTGGCAAAGAACATCTGCAGCTGCGATTGGATCGCCGCGACGTTGGCGGTGAGCGTGTCGGGATCGAGTGCATTGCGTTCGGTGGATCGACCCGAGGGGTCGCCGATACTGCCCGTCGCACCGCCGACGAGCACGATGGGTGTGTGGCCGCAGCGCGCGAAATGCGCCAGCGCCAAAAGCGGCAGAAGATTGCCGACGTGCAGAGAGCGTGCTGACGGGTCGACGCCAGAGTAGACGGTTCGGGGTGACGAGAGGTGTGTCCGCAACGCGCGCGATGTGAGCGTGTGCACGAGCCCTCGTGTTTCCAGCTCGCCCACAACATCCCCCGTGACAGTGCTGTACCTCCGCACCCCCCGCGACGGCGAGGAAATGCTCCCCCGTACGACCCGCGCCAGCATCGCGATGCTTCCAGTGCGTGAGAGAGTGATGGTGTTGGTGGATCAGAAGAAACCCGCCAAAAAAAAAAAAAAAAAATCCGCTCATTTCGGCTCATTTCGGCTCATCTTTTCGCCTTGAACCTCCCACCTCCACTCCTTCTCGCTCCCTCTCTCTTCCCCCTCGCAACCTCGCAACATACGCAATCCAAGAAGCAGACGGGACAGGATCGCATTCACGATTGTGCTGGGGCTACAGCTCCTCCTCATAGTCTTCCGCCTGTGCCACCGCCTCACCATCCGACGCTTCGTCCTCCATCTGCTGGCAGAGCACATCAAACATGCTTCCCGTCTTGCCCGTTCGCACCACGTCAGGCTTGGACGGCAGCGCGACACTGCCAAATATGCCGTTGGCCACGCGTGCGCCCTGCTCGTCGGCGCCGGGATGCGCGGCGTCGTCGAGCATCTGGCCCTGCAGCTGGCTCACGAGCCCCGCACCCGCACGCTCGGCGCGCTTCTTGAGCTTCTTCATCTTGCGCCGTGCCGCTCCCGTGGGCGCCGCCATCTGCGCAAGCTCGTTGGGCGCAAACGCGGTCGCCAGCTCGGCGGCGCGCTTGGATGCCGGCACAGCCGCCTTGGCCGCCAGCTTGTCTTGCCACGCCCAAGTTGCCAGTTCGGGCTGCGGGGTGGCGAGGGAATCGTCGTCAGAGAGGTCGGCGTCCAGGCCGGGGACGGCGTGTGGCCGGTGCCGAGTAGCAAGGTCGTCGTCGCTGTCCGCATCCGAGTCGTCCGAGTCCGACAGTCGCGAACGCTTGCCCAGCGTCGAGCGGCGGGACGTATCGCCAGCCTCCACCGCCTCCACCGCCTCCACCTCGCCTTGCATGCGGGCGGGCGCCGCATGGTCGTCCTCGATATCCGCCTCGCTCTCTGCCTCTGTTGGGGTTGTTCGCGGGGCCGGAGCGTCCGGCAGGGGAGCGTTCGACTGACCCGTGCCTGCGCCAAACACTTCGGCATCCGCATCGCCGAGCAGCGCCGCCAGATCAAACGCCTCGCTGAACCCACTGAGAATCGCCGAACTCTGCTCGAGCCTCGCCTCGGGCGCGCTCTCCTGCGCCGTCGCTTGGGTCGAGAGGATGGCGGAGCGGTGCAACGCCGGTGGATGGGTGTAGTACTTGATGCGACCGATGTTCCAGTCGTGCAGCACGCTGCGTGCGGTACCGTCGATGTCGATCTTGCCTCCGCGCGCCATCCTGCCGCGTTGCACGGCGATGCGCATGAGCAGATCCTGTGCATCGCCCTCTTGGAACCACTCGAGCCCGTACACTTGCATGAGGTGGTCGGCGTCCACACGCGCCATGATCGCCTCGACGGGCGTGATGGGGTCCTGCACCAGCTCCACCTTGACCACGTTGCGCAGCAGTGCCGACTGCTTGCGCATGTGCACCTCCTCGGGCGACAAACCGAGCGCCGCCGCGCCCGCGCCCGACTCGTCGCTAAACACGATGCCGGGACAGTCGAGCAGCCGCACCGACTTGTCGAGCATCACGCTCTGCACCACCTTGGTGTGACCGGGCGTCGAGGCGACACTGCACACGCGTGCGCGCTTGAGCGAGTTGATCAGGCTCGACTTGCCCACGTTGGGCGCACCAAACACGCCCACCGCAATCGACGTCTTGAGGTTGAGGCTGCGCGAGTAGTTTTTGATGAGCTGTAGCACCGCCCCCGCACCCACCGCTTCGGAACCGCTGCTGATGGCGTCGCTGCTCGAAGACGCCGCGCCGGCCTTGGTGTAGTTGACCGCACTCGCGCCCTGCGACAGATGCGTGCGCTGCGACTGCGTCGACGCCTTGAACGCCAGCGTGGGGAAGTCGTGGCGCAGATAGCGCAGCCATGCCTCCACGTTCGACTTGGGCACCAGGTCGATCTTGTTGAGGATGAGCACCACCTTTTTGCCCGCACGCAGCAGCATGCGCTCCGTCTCGAGCGACCGGCATCCGAGCGGATCGCGCGCATCCACCACCTCGAGCAGCACGTCCGCATTGTCCACCACCTTGCGCAGCTCGCGCATGTACGCCTTGATCGACGAGTCTCTGCGCCCCGTCAGCGTGGGATCGAGCTGCAGCGCCGGGCTATCCATCGCATCGATGCTGCCGTCCTGAAGATCGAGCGACGGATGCGCCTCGGTATTGCTCATCGCAGCCGCCCCCGCGATCTCCTCACGCAGCTTGGCAGCCGCACTTGGCTCAGCCACGTCGCCGCTGTCCGTGTCCATGGCTGTGAAAGCTGCGTTGTGGCCTCGCTGGTTGTACTGCTGCTGGAGCTGCTGGAGCTGCCTCGCCTTGCCCTTGTTGACGAGGCTGGCGAACTGGTTCTTGTTGAATACAAAGCCGGCGTTGGTCGCCTGCTTGCCTACGCCGGGCGTGGCTGTCGACGACGCCGAGTGCGCCTTGGTGGCGGCAATCTTTGTCTTTTTGCGCGCATGGCGATCCTCCTTTCTGTGCTGTCGACCCATTGTATGTCGATAACGACGATGATGTCGATGGATGGCGAGACAAAGTGATGATGAGCCTTTTGACACACGTTTTCTTCCAGCTCCGAGCGGCTCAGCTTTAGAGCCCAAAAAAAAGGGTCTTTCGAAAAAATTCACGCTGAAAATACGAAAAAGTGGGGTGGAGGCTGGTTGGTCATGATCACCAATCCAATCGCCCCGTCCGAACAAGTCGCCGATGCCCGATGCATTAACAGCAAAGTGTGACTCGTTCCTGCTCCACCACCATCATTGATACATAGTCACCATGGCGGCATCCTCGTCCGCCGCATCCGCCGCATATCTGGCCGGGCCATTTCCCTCGGGGAGAGCCCTGACCGAGCACGACGTGACGCCCACAGTGCCGCCCACGCCGTCCGAGGAGCATGCGCCGCCCACGCATCTGTACGCCGATCTGCCGCCGCACCTCATGCAGCCGGACAACACGCCCGACTATCTGCGCCTCATCCTCAACGCCGACATCTACGACCTGGTCAAGCAGACGCCGCTCCAGCCGGGCGTCAACCTCTCCTCCAAAACAGGATGCAACGTGCTGCTCAAGCGCGAAGATCTGCAGCCCGTGTTCAGCTTCAAGCTGCGTGGCGCGTTCAACATGATGCAGCAGCTCGACCCGGAGCAAAAGTGGAAGGGCGTCATCGCGTGTTCGGCCGGCAACCATGCGCAGGGTGTGGCGATGGCCGGTGCGCATCTCTCCATCCCGTGCACCATCGTCATGCCCAAGGGCACGCCCGAGATCAAGACGGCCAACGTAAAACGGCTCGGTGCCAAGGTGGTGCTGTTTGGGCAGGATTTCGACGAGGCCAAGGCAGAGTGCACGCGCCTCTCCAAGGCGTACGGTCTGACCATCATCCCGCCCTTCGACCATCCGCGCGTCATCGCAGGACAGGGTACGATCGGCGTCGAGATCTGCCGCCAGACGGACATGTCGAATCTCGATGCCATCTTTTGCTGCGTCGGCGGCGGCGGTCTGCTCGCCGGCGTCGCCGCGTACATCAAGCGCATCGCACCGCCCCACGTCAAAGTCATCGGCGTCGAGACGTTTGACGCCGACGCGCTCGCGCAGTCGCTCGAAAAGGGCCAGCGCGTGCTGCTCAAGGAGGTGGGGTTGTTCGCCGACGGCACGGCCGTGCGCATCGTGGGCGAAGAGTGCTTCCGCGTTTGCCGCGATACTGTCGACGGCGTCGTGCGCGTCACCAACGACGAGATCTGCGCTGCCATCAAGGACGTCTTTGAAGACACGCGCTCCATCCCCGAGCCCTCGGGTGCACTCGCCGTCGCAGGCATGAAGCGCTACATTGCCACGCACGGTCTCGCCGGCTCGGGCAAAAAGTTTGTCGCGCTCGTGTCGGGTGCCAACATGAACTTTGGGCGGCTGCGCTTTGTGGCTGAACGCGCCGAGTTGGGCGAGAACAAGGAGGCGCTGCTCACGGTCGAGATCCCCGAGGAACCGGGTGCGTTCCTCAAGCTGCACAACCACATCCATCCGCGCGCCGTCACCGAGTTCAGCTACCGCTACGCCGACAGCCAGCGCGCACAGATCCTGCTCTCCTTTATGCTCAACGGCACCAAAGCACCCCTTCCGGAACCACAAGCACCTGGTGCACTCCCCGTCCCCGAGCTCGGCGATGCTTCGGCATCCATGGCGTCAAGCACTGCATCTCTCGATCCCTCGCGTCTCGCCGACTCTCTCGCTGCATCCACGCTTTCGGGAGGTTCGGAATTGGACAGCATCCTTGCCGCACTCACCGCCGATGGTATGACGCCCCTCGATGTTTCCGGGGATGAGGTGGCTAAGTCGCATCTGCGCTACCTCGTGGGCGGTAGAACCGCCGTGCCCAACGAACGCATCTTCCGCTTCGAATTCCCCGAACGCCCCGGCGCGCTGCGCAAGTTCCTCGTGGGCATGCAGTCCGGCTGGAACGTCTCGCTCTTCCACTACCGCAACCACGGCGCCGACGTCGGCAAGATCCTACTTGGAATCCAGGCTCCCCAAGCAGACCACGCAAGCCTAGACGCCTTTTTGAATGGTCTTGGATATCTCTACCACGAGGAGACCAACAATCCCGTCCTCCAACGCTACCTCGGCATGCACTAGTTGGGATTCCCTCTGTATCACTCAAAATTGCGCCAACAGCACACACTACATCGGCGCTTCCCAATCCCATTTCTCCAACGCAAGCTTGTGTTAGCCACGCCAATCTGTGATCGCCACCAGTGCGGAGTAAGACGCAATGCTCGAGTGTGAGATCGCGACACCATGGCGACGAGGAGGTGCACGAGATGGTCGCGTCGACTGGCGCCATTCGCATCGCCGACAAGGCACTTTTCATTCGGTGGTAGCATTCGTCGTTCACAAGTGTACCTTCGCATCGCATGCAATCTCGCTGGGTCGCTCTTGGCGATCACGCCGAACAATCTCACGAACCGCTGCGCATCATCACAACAGCCTCGGCCTTGTCTGTGCTCGGACGTGCATCGTTGTGTCCAGTTTCAAGCGGAGGTGCTCTGCCCAGCCTCGGCCGAGTCGTGCCCTTGACACCGAGAGAAAGGCGGGGGCATTGCATTGAACGTAGCGACGATGCGATGCCGCACAGTCGGTCCTCCCCGCGACATCACACCGGAATCCGAGTCGACACTGCATGCGCGTTGCAAGTACACAATCTACGACTGTTGCGCGATTGGCTCCGAGAGCTGGCCGGCACCGCTGCCCCACTCAATACCACTGCTGCTTCAACGACATTCCTACTGGCACCTTCCATGGCCTGGAACGCTGCTACGCTACCTTGACACACACTATCGCCTAGCGCCGCAACCGAGTGTCTTTTCTTTTCGTTCTCGGCGAGTCGATCGTATGCGCTCGGAGCGGCCCACGAGCCGGGTTCGAGTCGTCCCTCTAGTCGTGCACGCCATACGCTCGCACAACCTTGAACACGTCGGCCTTACATGCCGTCCTGTATCGCCGCTTTCTCCCACTGAGCCGTCTCTAACACTATGGCCTTGCAACCCCGCACACACCCACCCCTTTTGCTTCGAATCCAATTGTCATTTTTGGTCGACTTGAGCGATTAGTTGAGCGACTCATACGCCTCCATGCTCTGGACAGTCGTTGGACTTGACCACCTTGAAACGTCGGCCTGCAATCATGCCTCCACGCAGCTACTATCCCCTTCGCTAAATCTTCGATCTCGTTTCTCGAGCCGAGCGACTGATCCACTCCACGGCCCCTGAACCAGTGCTTGTTTCTCAACGGTCCTCCGTACGCGCTCTGGGTGATCGACGTTGCCGGACAAAAACACCTTGGGCGCATCGAATCCGGTTGTGATTTTCCTTAGATGGACGACTAGTTGAGCGACTGATACGCCACCATGGCCTTGAACGAGTCGTTGCTCTTGACGAGTTCCGCATAGGCGCCCTGAGCCTGCAAGTGTCCATTTTCGAACAAGAAGATCTTATCCGCATCCTTGATCGTCCTCATCCTATGCGCAATGGCGAGAATGGTGCACTTGCCCTCGCTCCTAATCGCATCCAGCGTCTGTTGGAACGCCTGTTCGCTATGACTGTCCAGCGCACTCGTCGACTCGTCCAATAGCAAGAGGCGCGGTTTGCGGATGAGGGCACGTGCGATCGAGAGTCGCTGCTTCTGTCCACCCGAGAGTTGCGACGAGGTGATGAGCGTGTCGTAACCCTTGCGGAAGGACATGATTGTGTCGTGAATCCCCGCCGCCTTGCAGGCCGCCTCGATGTCCGTGTCCGAAACACTCGTCTGCCAAGACACATCTTCCCGGTACGGAGCAAGAAGCTCATCCTCCTCCCCACCCCGTCCCCGTCCCCGCTTGGACTTGCGAACCGCAGTGGCACTGGGCATGTCCGGGCGCAGGCCAAGTAGGACGTTGAACCGTACCGTGCCGTAAAAGATCACGGGCTCCTGAGGGACAATCGCCATATCTCGACGCAGCACCGCGTCCGAAGTCCGGTCGGTGCGCAAGCCGTCCACACGAACGCACCCGCTCGTCGGCGTGTAGAAGTTCTCGATCAACGACATGGCTGTCGTCTTGCCCGATCCAGACTGTCCCACAAACGCCGCAAAGCATCCTGGCTCGATAGCGAGCGAAACCCCCTTGAGCGCCGCTTCCTCGCGCGTCGGATACGTAAACGACACATCCTCGAAACTGATCCTTGTCGCCTTTGTCTTCTCGACCGCATCCGCATCCCCACCCTCCTGCGCAGCACCCTCGACATCCTTACCCATCTTCTTCTGCACCGCTTCGGGCCTCTGGTCCATGAGCCGAAAAAAGTTCGCCGCGGATACGTGCGCCTTGCTGAAATCGGGCGCAAACGCCAACAGCTGCCCACTGGCCTGTGCCGAAAACAGCAGTGCGGGAAGCACGATGAAGAAGGCCGTCTGCGAGTAGCGACCCTCGGCGATGTTCTGACTGCCCCACCAGTAGGCAAAGGCGTAGATGAAGTAGCTGATGCTCAGCGCGAGCGCCAGAAACACATTGCCGAACAAAAAGTGGCGCATCGACTCGCGGTACGGCTTCTGCAGCGACCGCTCGAACTTGCGCATCACATCGTCCTCCCTGCCCAAACTCGCCACCGTCCGGATGCACTGCACCGCCTCGATGGCGAGCGCGTTCGACTTGACGTACGCCGTCTCGTGCCGCTTCTGGAAATCCGCCAGCACCTTGAGCCTCAAATAGCCCGCAGTGAGGATGATCGGCACGAGTGCCAGGATCACCACCGCAATGCGCCACGCAATCGCGTGCGACACAATGATGCCCGCAAGCAGGTTGACAAAGATGCAAAAGATGGTGCCGATCACGGTGCCCGTGACGCCGCCGAGGTTGTTGGCGTCGTTGGAGAGCGAGGCGATCATCGAGGCCGGGTTCTGGTCCTGCGCCTCGAACCACGTCAGCCGCTGGTGCATCATCGTGTTGAACGACACGCGGCGCAGACGGAACAGCAGCCGCTCCGCCACCAGCCCCCACACCAGCCCGTTGATCGAGTACGCCACCAGCTGGATGAGCGCAAGGATGAAAAAGTAGCGCGCGAACTCGCGGCCGGAGCTGCGCACGCCGTCCGGCGAGTGGCACTGCGGATTCAGTGCTTCGATGACGTGGCCGAACAGCACCGCCTCGCCCGAATACGAGCCACCCATGATGGTGCTTGTGAAGAGACCAAGCAGGATGTACGCCCACTCGCGCCGGACGAGCCACAGCACACGGCGCAGAATCACGCGCGGCGGATATCCTCTCTTGTGCTGCTCGATCTGAGCCTCGGTCGCCTCCTTTTCGGTGGGCTCGTCGGATCGTACCGCGCCAGCCGCGGCCTTGTCGTTCTGCACATCGTCGCTGCTGTTGCGCCGGAGTGTCGCGCGGCTCGACTCGAGCGAGTTGGCATTGGACTCGTCGCGGCCGCCGTCGGCACCTTCGCTCTCGTCGCCCTCGGCCACATCGTCCATCCTCTGGCGCGTGCGCGGTTCAACTTCTTCTACCGGCAGATCGTCCTCGACCTCAACATCGGCGTCGCTCTCATCCGCACCCTCGTCCGCGCGCGAGCCAGTGTCCTGAGCCGCGGCGAGCTTGTAGTAGTATCCACGCAGTGCGAGGAGCTGCTTGTGCGTACCCTGCTCAAGCACCTTGCCTGCGCCCATGACGACGATCTGGTCGTAGTTGCGAATCGTCGCGAGTCTGTGGGCGATAGCGACGGTGGTGACGCCCTCCGAGATGCTATCGAGCGCCTTGGCGACCGCATGCTCCGAGTGCGAGTCGAGCGCCGCGGTCGCCTCGTCCAGAATCAGCAGCTTGGGCTGCTTGACGATCGCACGCGCGATCGAGATCCTCTGCTTCTGCCCGCCCGAGAGCTTGCCGCCCGCCTCGCCGACCTGGCTGTCGTAACCCTGCGGGAGACGCTCGATAAAGTTGTGCGCGCCCGCCAGCTTGGCAGCGCGCACACAGAGCGTCTTGATCTCGTCGAGCTGCTCGAGCTGCTCGCTCGTCGTGAGCACGTGCTCGAGCTCCGTGCCGGTCTTCTCCTGGCCGACTTGGGAGAAGGCGAGGACGGTCTCGTGGAGGTGGCTGTGGGCGGGCGAGCCAACGAGGCCGTGCGCGATGCTCTGCATGATGGAGCAGTCGAACAGCACCGGCTCCTGACCCACCACGCCGATCTGCGACCGCAGCCAGCGCACGTTGTACTCGCGCACATCGGTGCCATTGAGCAAGACACGACCGGACGTCGGATCGTAGAACCGCTGCAGCAGCGCAGCGACCGTCGACTTGCCCGAGCCCGACAGGCCGACCAGCGCCACACGATGTCCCGCGGGCACCGAGATGCTGAGTCCGTGCAGCGCCTTTTCGTCCGGGCGCGCGGGATAGCTAAACTCGACGTCCTTGAGCTCGACTGCAATGTCGGCCACATCGCCCGGCTGGGGCATGATGCCATGCGAGGCGTTGGTGGCGTCGATGGGCGAGACCTTGTCGATGGTCTCGCGCAGCGCCTGGCCCGCGCCCGATGCCGCCGAGAACGTCTGCAGATACGGCGCGATCTGACCCACGATGAACGATGCATCGAGCAGCAGGAAGATGACCGTGTACACGGATCCGACGGTGCCCGGGTTGCCGGACGACGCGATCAGGTTGGAGCCCGAGAAGAACGCCAGCGCGTTGGCCGAGTATCCCACAAAGAAGAGCGCGCCAAGCACACACGCTGCCGCGAGCGCCTTGAGCGTGCCCTGCCTACGTGCGCGCTCCAGATGGCTCTGGTAGATGTTCGAGAGCCTCTTCTGCGCACCAAACGCCTGGACGACGGGCAGGTTGTTGAGCGCCTCAGCCGCCAGACTCGCCGCATGCGACAGATGCGTCGAGGTATTCTTCTGCGCATTTGCAACGAACCTCGACCCGACGATGCTGACGATTCCGAACGCGGGCAGCAGCGACACGAGCTGGCCCGCAAGCCGGGGCAGCTTGATGAACGCCACGATGTAGCTCGTGACAAAGTACGAGAGCGACGAGATGAGGATGCCCATCTTTTCGCTCGTGCCGTTCTGGATGGTGAGCAGGTCGGCCGACAGCCGCGTGCCCACCTCGCCCGGCTTGA